TGAATACATTATTGTGTGCCTGATTTAGCGACTGGTGACAAATAGGAGTCTCCCTATCTTCCCAGATCTCATCCTCAGAGCAAATGGACCTCATTTATTTCAATGTCCCACTTATTCAGTCCGTCTTTTACCAATTAGTGGCCTTTATAAAAATTCTAAACCAATCTCCTTACGCATTTTTCATGAATTGTTTTTGCAGGATAGTTCTGCCATTTTTTTTGTTTTGTTAAGAAAAACCTGCAATATTGTTTTGTACTTAAAACAAAAACTTACATTGTTTTAATAAAATCTTAAAAACACCTCATTGACTCTATACTTGAGGAATCTAAAAGCTTTTACCAGGAAAGACGGAATCAAAAAACTAAAATGAATTATATCTAGCAGGACTTGACGTTTATAAAGAGGATCACATCTCTCAAAATGAACACGTCCTGCTACAATCATTAGCCAGGCCGGTGAATCAGTTTTAATGAAGTAAATCGAAGTACTCTTCAACGCTTTGAAACGATTCAAATCCAAATTTATATTTTGGAACCTAAAACTTCCCTATAACCAAGCTTGGATTATAAATTTGAAAAAACTTTATTCAATCGTGAAGCTTTATTTTTGGAATAACCTTTGGTATTATTACGCTTTTGTAACTTATTCATTTAAATGCATATCTGATATCAACTTAAAACATTCAGTACTTTTTTAAATTATAATTTTTGATATTTTTTAGATAGAAATATAGTAAACAAGAAGAATCGTGCGAAATTATGTGAGGAGTATTAGTGGGAATGTGTTGTGTGTGAGGGGTAGATGGCGAAATATTCAGTAAGTACCCTTTCTACATTCAATTGGGTTAGTTGTATAATGGGTGAAAAGGGTGAGGAATATCGAGTACTCCAGCACTATGATTGAATGGTATGTAAATAAGAAATAATGTATTTAAGAGTGAGTGTTTGAATGGGTTGAATTTAGGAACTCATTGTAATGGGGGCTGAAACAACCTAGGTGCTTATAGCCCTCAGAGCCTAACCTCAGCGGCTTGACGGATAAGACCGTGGTCTGACCCCAGACTATCAACTACCTAGGTGGTGATTACCGAGACCAGTACTGGTACAACGTATATTCTAGAGAAGAAAATATATATAATAATTGTATGTGCATAAAGAAAATCCAACAAATAATGCTCTTTGTATACTCAAGTATATAAATGAATCATCTGTTTTATATTTACAATAAATTTATCTCTAGGATTGTATTTTTTATGAAAAAAAGATTATAAAAATCCTATTTTTTACGTTATAAAACTTCACTAGAACAGAGTATTTAAAAAAAATAGTCACAAATTAATGATTTTATTAATTTTTTTTATAATTTTCTTAAACCAATTATAATGAATTGGAACGTTCACACATAGTAAAAATAATGCTTTCACTATCGTAAATTAACCTAAATATTAGGTTGGGCAGGTCTGTGAGTACTCCTATTCCACGCAGAACGTGTCCTTACACAATTAAACACTCACGTAAATAATTATATTCAAACAATTGATTAGTTACCAGGGATTTTTGATATTGCGCCTATGATTACCCCACATCACACTGCATATACATATAAAACTTTTGTAAAACTAAAATTTTACTTTAGTGGGTTTGTGGGTACTCGATATTCCATCACAAACACGACCAAACAAACTATAACGTTTACGCTCATAAATACATTCACTGAAATTAACAATATTGTTTCAACCAATGTATGAAAGGGCCCTTATATGCGACCATAAACGTTTAGAGTTTGTTGCTTACAGAGGAAGTACAGATTCTCTTGAAAAATAAAGGCGTTTCAAAATTAAAATCTATTGTGTAGAAATGGGGTTAAACTAAACAATAGGAAAGAAACGAGCTGTTCGTCAAAAAATCGGTCGCAGCCGCCTTATTATTTTTATTGTACAGGAATTCAAATTACTAGTGTCACCCCTGGTATTCGCAAAAACTACTCAACCTAGGAAAAACATTTAACAGAATTTTTTTGCATAGGCTCTTCTTTCGATATTTTTTCTTTTCTTTTTTTTCGAATCGTATCCTACACTTTCATGTGACATTCTTTAAGTCCATTCGGGTTTATGAAAAAGGGCGAAAACTATTAAAAATCGGTTAAAAAAAATCTTAGATATGAGGAAAATTATTCGTTAAATCAGACATCACATAATTAATTTTGCCATTGATATTAAATCAAAAATGAAATTTTATTTTATATTTGTATTACTTATAATTATCACAATTTATATTGATTTCCTTGTTTTAAAGAAGAAGCGAATAGGAAAAGAAAGCTCATTCTATTTTAAGGCCTATTCTACACGACCGCTCAAAACGCGGCATTTGGAACGTTTGGAAAGCTTTGCCTCTTGTTTTTAATGGTTTCAACGCAAACGCATGCTAGGAAACGCGAGTCCATTCTATCCATGCGTATGAACAGCGCGTTTCAGCATAGTTAGTTTCATAATAAAACCTGTAGGGTGTGTTACGGGGATTTTATTGTTGAAGCGACTTGAAAAACCAAAATGTTAGAGATGATGAAGATGGGGTGAGTATGTAGATTCACATTTTGTAAATGGTTGTTCTACTCACAAATTTGTTGTTTACAACAATCCGGATTAAAAGCTTTAAACGCTCAACATCAGTTGAAAGAATTACAAACACGTCTCTCGACATGAATTGCATAAGAGACTCGCCAATTCATGCCAATACGTGTTTGTAACGCCTTCAACCTGATGAGCGTTTAATGCTCGAAATTCGGGCTATTGTAAACAACAAATCTGTAAGTAGATCCATCATTTACAAAAAGTGAAGAAAAAAAAACTGTGTTCCAGTCATTGGACATTGCTTCGCCGATTTCTGTCCAACATTTCGCCTTCACTTCTCTATTCAAATAGTCTTTCGAACTAATTGCGTAAATGGGTGGTCTCTTCGCAAATGAATGTTTCAGTGTCGAACACCACATATATAAATATAATGCGTTTTTAGTTTGGCTCTGGGGTGAAATAAAAACTAGACTGAGTTTCTCTGTAATCAAAGTATTTATATTTTCATTAACTACACAATATTTATAAATAATACATTTTAGATTATATACCTTAAACAATTATATTACCTGTAATCAAAGAAACGACATTTACAAGATTTTATTTCACTTTATCTTTTATTATCAAGTCTATCAAACACCACTTCTTAAAACCTTCTAACCATCTTAACCTTCTCCTATTGTCTGCTATTCCGGCCTAGCACGGGCATGCGCTATAGATGCGCGGTAAAATATAAATATAAATTTAAAAGAGGTTCGACGAACATCTTTTATATAAATACACACATAAATATAACTTCAATATCTATCAACTTTTTTCCCAGTTTCCATACGCTCAATCATATTCCAAGACTCCTCTAAAACTTTAGCTTTAGAGGACTTTAGAACTTATAACTTAAAACTAGAGACTATAGAACTTTAGCTTTAGGTTTTACGTTCTCATTCCTAGCGGCTTGTCCAAGGCATCTGGGTTTTTAAAAACGACATGAATCATCCATCTCCTTTTCTCCTCTCTTCTTTTTCTTTTCCGTCTCCTTTTACCTTTTTCTCTTTCTGCTTTTCTTTCGTAATGAGGTTTCGATTGTAAATACAATAATTAATATTTTAAAGAATATACTATTTTCCTTATTGTTTTGTGTATTTTATTATATCTTTTATTATTGCTCTTATTATTATTTCTAAACTATGTGCTCATAAAGGGGCTTAAAGCCCTATTTGTACCTTAAAAAAATAATACACATATAAATCAAGAAATTTGAGACTAACATTGCGATAGAATCGCCGAGATGAACGTCCCTGTAGATTGAACAACGTTCTGAACGAACGCCGACATTTTATGCGTTAGAAACGCTCTTTTAAATGGAATCCGTGTTTTTCTATGCAAATGCGGTGAAAAGCGCTGTTTGCGTTAACACGCGTTTTGAGCGCTCGTGGCCTAAGCGATTGTAACGTCTGGCGTTGTCATGGAAATTTTCAATTTATTTTGGTTAAAGAAATTTAACTTATTTTTAACTTCACTATTATACACTATCACCGAGAGCAGATATCTCTGGACTGCGTCTAAATGTACCTTGTCCTACAAATTTGACTGTTCTCGTCCCATGGACTTTATTCGATGAAGAAAAAACTTCCCTTTTTGCCTCCCCTGTACTACTGTACTGTAAACTGTCCTTACCCCCTCATACTGGCATAACCGATTGTCCCGCTTAAACTTTTACTCCTTCTGACGTCAAATACGCAATTAAAAATCTATCCCTCCAGAAATCTCCTGGATTTACCTCTCATTACCCCTTCAATCCTTCGTATACACCCAACAAAAGCCATAGTGTTCCTAACAACCCTTTGTTATGCCGTCCTAGGCACATTCCGAATCAATTGATGTTTCTTATGGTTCACCGCAGCAAACCACACTACTGTCTCAAACCCATTCAAAAACCAATTTGTAAGCAAATACTACCCATCATCGAATCCTCTAATATAATATCCCATAAATTTGGATTTTGACGTCACCATTCTTTTATTCAGCGTGTTATGGTCAACATCTCATCTTCCACTTATAAGACGAGATATTGCTAGAGGGTCTTCATCCGTTGACCACCCTTTCTATCGAGATTGATACCGGGGTTTGTTCTGGAAATACGAAGGCATCCTAAACTCTAGACAATAGTGGGTATAAAGTATGAGTAGAACATATTGCAACATAGATTGCATGATCCACATACCAAATATCCATACTAATCTTCAATTTTACTTTAATTTTGGCGTACAACTTTCCTCCTAATCTCGTCTCAATAATTCTCGATGTCTAAAAGACTTACTTTACTTTAAAATGCATTTCGTAAATCAAAATGCGTACTTTCTGTCTCATAAAACATGAAGATGAAAAAATAGACAATAGTTAATATTAATGTTATAGTCAATAATGAAAATAATTCAATGAGACAAGCTATTTATTATATCAAATTACACGGTTTTCATGAGGCAAAACAATCTTGTAAACGATCCTTCGACAGGTCATCTTGTTCAAACATGTGGTCATATCTGGAAAACAATTCGGCACTTTTAAGACGCCCAAGCGTAAATGGTTAACAAAACATTTACCAAGTTATGTGATAATGCTGGGCGGTAAAGTTCGGTCTCTCAGCGAATACAAATCTCTGCACACCTTCGCCAGCAGGCTGGAATTGTAGATGACCGACTTGTATGGGCAGATGTTCTTTCTCACTAAATGTTCCAAGTCGCCGGTCGGTCTCATTTTCAGATTTCTAAACAGTAGCCTCCTCACAAAAAAGACATTTTTTATTATATTAACCGGTCTCAATAGGATCCTCGAAGCGCTATAGCACACTGGATCCGTCTTGATCAAGGGTTCGTGTTCTCCCGGTATTTTATTTTTGCTCCTCGTCGCATTGTCTTCGCTTCTCTTTACCCTCTTGAAAACGGTCAAAAACATAGGGAGCATGGAACCAGTTTGATTTGTCTTTTATTGGGGGAGATGCAAATTGTGTGATGTGAACTAGAATTTTGACTGAACCGTGTTGAAGCTGAGTTTCAACTGAACACTACCATAGCGACCGAAAAAAGTAGCATCGCCAAACAAAAGAAAGTAGAAACAAAAAATTGATGTCTTTTTTCATATATCTTTACACCGTTTTGTCGTGAAAATGATAAATTAAAAAACAAAACAATTGTCCTATTTTAATTTAAAATAATAATAAAAATTTGTAAACTACAATTTATTTTCAAAAAAAATTATATATATAATTTTGAATCGATCGTGTTTTATTTAATAACATATGTTAAATTTGATTTACTGCAACATTTATTTAAAATATTTACACGTATAAGTAATATTAATTTTTTACAATGATAAGCGAAAAAATGATAATAAACACAAAACAAAATAAATATAATTGCATGGCTATTTCTGCAAATAAGGAAAATTCCATGGTCCGGGTCGAGAAGGGAAAGGATCATAGCAGCTGCGCATAGTCATACTAAGCTTATACATGGCCACTTGCAGAAAGGAAAGGGACCGTGTCGGTGCCCATTATGTACTGAAATATTAACCGTTGAGCAAGCAATGTTTTCCAATGCAGAAAACTATACGCCTGCAGGATGAGCTACGGAGTTCCTGCTAATCGTCGCATTACGATGGCACAGATCGACATTCCAGTACCTCAGGGCTCTGAGAGTTTTTAAATGTATGTTTTATGGCTGGTGTCAACTTAAATTATTAGGGTAATAGGAAGGCGTTGTTTAATCCCATCCAGAGGAATATGGAATACTCTGGGAAAGTGAATGTGACCAGACTTTTCTTGTTATGAAAGGATATCGGCGTCGTCGGAATATCCACATCATGACGACCAGGGTAACGCATGGGTTATTCTACACACTGCACTGATGGTTCAGCTGTGGGAAGCGTAAAAATCTTTTTGTGTTTTCTTGTTCTTTATAGAAATTTGACAACCTGAGTACCTTCGAGAAGTTAGGAAAACACGAGAAAAGTATGAGAGTCGGTGACAAAGATGCGCGAAGAAAAGCCTTTTAAAGCGCAGAGTGCCGGCAATTATTACTGTTTTTTTATTGTCAAAAATGCTTCAAGTTTGCAATATTCCTAAAATATACAAATTTATGCAGTATTTTGTAAATATGTTCTAATCTCTCGTCTCACACTAGATGTTTATGCCAATAAATATGACTTTCAACACACGCTTGAGACAAAAAACTATCATTATTATATATCATAAAACGACCGTATCCTCCAAAATTCGGAAAAGCGGACTTAGATACTCGTATTTACTCATTACAGATCGCATTCCTACAAAATTTCTATATGGGCCCAAGGAATGCATTGTTTAACTAGGTGGGTCTTATCGAGCAACCTTTCTCTATATGCCGGACACATACTCAAGCTTTTGCCCAGCAATAGTTATCAAAATTTTAAAATTGTGTATATTTCAGAGTCGATGTAGGTATTTAAATGATAATAGAGGTTTTGCATAATTTTAACAAAATTTTCCATACCTCGGCTAGGTTGCTTTAATTGTTATGTAATAAATGTTGGAGGAATCCGGGATTTTTTTCGTATCTATTGGTCAATGTTAAATTACCTATGACCTGTTAAAATTTATTCGTGTCGGTTTTGCCAGTAGTTGATATGTTTTGGCAAAACATCCGTAGTTACAATAAGGAACACTTCTAACATTTTACCTCCCTGTTTTCCAACTTAACCAAATGGTATAGCTTGAGTTACTGCCTGCACAAAGTATTTTTATCGTAAAATTTGCTAATTATTTTATCAAGCATTCTTAAGTGACCCCCTAATTATACTTCATCAACTAAATAAGAGCTGCAAGACTAACAAGTAAAGCCACTTGAGAATTTTTCAACAACAACCTTCACATAAATAATCTGATAGCATAACCACGTCCATGTTAGAATCAGCGACATAAATTACCGCCTTTTTTGGATTTGTTCCGGCCTGGAATATATGGATATTGAAACTTGTTAACTGCATGTGATCACCACAGTAGGTTTGTGGGCAGACCAAAAATAAATAGAACGACCAATCTACTAATAAAGAAAAATGTTATAATAATTGTACAGGAAAAACTATCAAAACGACCAAACTGCAGGTTCATCACTATCCAGACTTTGAGAAGAAATGCTACAATAAAAAAATGTATTTTTAAATGTAAAAATGGCAATTGTGTAGTTTTATGTTCGTTATTTGGTAATAGGATCTTAGGTAATTTTAGCTCTGAACACGATACCTACGTCGTTGTTAAATATCTGGTTTGATTCAAACCTTATGCATAACTTTAAAATTTTCTAATTGGTTTGAATAATTTCGAGTAGGAATTGTAAAATCCACACTTTGGAAGAATAATGAGCTGGGATAATGCGACCGGCTTATAGACAGAAGTAATGGGCCAACAATTACCCTGCCATTAGCCGACACGGTATGTCGCGGACGAAATTGCTTTACACAGGGATCGATTCGTTCTGATAATTTTTCGTTTCTAGTCCCCCCCACGTGTTCTTAAAAAAAAGAAAAACTTATTTATTGGACACGACTAGCTTTTTTCCCCTCAAATACCTTTCGGATCTAACTTCGGAACATATTGCACGACTCAGTCATCCGTTCTGACATCTCTCGCCTTCCCAGGATTCCTCCAGGGCGGGTGAGAATTATATGATTAGTCAGCTGGCTGCAGCAATTGTACCAGCTGGTACTAATCAAATGAAGCAGCAATAATTTTTTAATTTTGTTTAAGTATCAATGTTATATACACTATTTAGCAATAAAAATTGTATTTTCCTGGGATTAGTTCTTAAACTACCACATAATTGGTGGATTTTTTTTTATTTGATGTTTAGATAATGTGTTGAAATTTTTTTTACTGATGTATCTCCTGGGTTAATTGCCGCACGTGAACGTACATACATACATACAAACCTGTGCCGAATTAAGGCTTTTCGTTGTCCCCCGGCATTTCCAGCTTTTGGAAGCTTGTCTGGAGAATCACCCAACCTGGGTGTTAGCAGTTCGGGGGAAGACCTCAGTCTTATCGGACCAGCCACCGAGGTTTTGCTCGTGGGGGGAGGGGTGCTGTCAAGAGCTTTGTTAATTCAGCACCTAACGCATGCAGTTCCAAACCCATTCGTACTCACGTCATTCTTAAATACATTCACTCCTATGACACAATTCATGGAGTAGTCGATAATCCTCAATCATCTTTTACATATATTGTACAACTAAACCTAATTGAGGGTCGAAGGGGTGCTCCATATTCCGCCATCGACCCTTTCACACCACACATTCACGTTAATGTTATTACTTTCTTTCCCTTCACCTCGACGGCGACAATGCATGACTTAACGCAGGGCCCCTCAGGTAGAGCTGCGGGAGGCTGTGGGCCCTCCTCAGCCTTTAAAAGTGGATGCATACGGTTTTCGACGCAGAGAACGCAAATCCAGTTTCCTCGGCTCTTTCAGCCACAACGTTTATATCTGAGTGCATCACCCCTCCGACCAACGCTAGGTATTTCCCCGAAAGGAAATATCAGAGGTTGTCGACGTACAGTAATCATCTGATTGGCCGTGGGGCCACCATCAGCGATACATTTCACTGCAATCGAGAAAAGCGTAACGCATATCACTGAACAGTGCATTCTTTTGAGCAAAGTCCCTGGAGAGCACGGACCCCAATCTGACACGAAAACCTCAAGGAACCGAGGTAATTTGCCTGTGAATCTGACATCCCAACATTTCCTAAATATCGCATAACTTTCTCGAGGTCAAAGAACCGCCAGAGCGTCCCTCTCTTCAGACAAGTATTCTGAATATCACTGGCCTGATACTGGCAGTAAAGCCCTTTTACCTCAAGACACCAGGTCAAACGACCGTTTATCCTGGACTTCAGGNTCTCTCTCTCTCTCTCTCATTCCCCCTCTCTTTCTCTCTCATTTGCTTACTCAGGACTTCTTAACTGATATAGTATAGGATAAACAGTTCGGCATATATTTGAGGTTTAGCTATTTTCAAATAATCCTGTCGCCAATGATGATTCCTACGTCTTTTTTCTTCTCTCACGTTATCAGGTGTTTTTGTACTATACTTTTGCCAATTTTTTTTTCTCTTTTTAAAACATCTTGGATTGATTAACAATTAATGTCTTAGTTTTATTATTAATTTTTATGTGTCATCCTTGCTCCTTGCATTTTTTAATTAATTTTTATCACTCTTAGTAGTAATACATATTTAAAGATTAAACCATTTCAAATATTGTCCAAGCAAGGTCGAGGACCAATGTTTACTTCTTGATTAGATGACATGTTACCTATATTTTTAACATTTTGTGACTTGCTTTTCAATTAAGATTTTAAAAATTGGACTGCATTAAATCCAGATTATCTATTCCAGCATTGCTGTTCGTGATCTATTGAATCGACTGCTTTTGAAAAATCTAATAAACACTACTATTGTCACTTTGTGGTCCGTTGCATATCATATTATTTAAAGGCAATATTAAGTACTACTATTACTTCTAAAATTGATATTCTGCTTGCATTTTATGAGCACAAAATGTTTATACCTCTGTCACTGAATAATAAAGGAACTGGAAATAGTATTAAATAGTTCTAAGTTTAACGTCTGGTACTATTCCAATTAATCCACCCCACGTGGCTAAAACTTCAGCGTCCTCACTCCTATTGTGCGGTGCGACTTATTTGTTCAGTCACAACTAAAAGGGTCACCATTGGGTGATTCTTCTCACCTTAGAGCCAGATATTTTTTATTTTCTCCTGGTATATTAAAATAATTGTTGTTGAAAATTTTTTATTAATGTCATACAGATGAAGTAATAATAATTTATTGTTAAATTAAATTATATTAATATATAAGTTATATTAATGTTGATGTTGTAACGTGTCATTAAAACGAAAACTATGTAGAAAATGATGAAAAAAGCACATCCTTGTATTTATTTTGTCCAGGCATATCATATTTAAAGAACAACCCGCCAAGAATAAATCCTGTCCATAAATGATCAATATTTCACTGAACGTTGATGT